CATTGAGGCCGGCTAGATCAGGCATGATCAAAGCCGTAACAAGTACAAGTACTTTTTACCGGACTTCTAGCTTAAATAGGATGACTGCTGTTTATAGGTGACCCCGCATCACTTGACTGACAGGCTTAGACAGGCAGGAGAGAGAGAGGGTGAGGTCGACTGTCAGCGCATATTCCTTATATTAAACAATCTAGCGCGCCTTTAAACCATCACACTGTCTGCTACAAGCCGGGCCGTGAAAGGCCACCAATTGACTCGAAAGCTCGGTCCTCCCACACGGAGAGTCAGGCTGCAATGACTCCTTTTTAATGCAGCTTCTAGGGTATTCTCACTTACTTTGGGTGCGAGCTGGCCTCCATTGTTATGCGAAAACTTGGTCCATTGTGTGTGAACCAGGTCGTTTGTGGCACGGATACACGAGCTGTTGATCTTTATCAGCTACTTCGTCTGATTGTGCATCTGGTGTCTCTTCTTGACCCTGCCTTGACACCGAACTCAGGATACCGGGGGCCGCGAGAGCGTGTTAGATGCAGTACAAGTCTGCTATCGCCAAGATACAAATTCACGCGCAAGCCACCGTCCCTACGTCCACTCTGCCCTGAGACACTGTGGAAATAATCAGAATAAAGTCTCGAAATGTGTAGATAAATACGTACCAGACAGCAGTTTCCTTTTGAATGACTGAAAAACATTTATCGATAGGAAAACCTTTGTAAGAACCTGTTACTCACCAAGTTTTATGTCCGAGCCACACGTTTGCTTTTAAACTAAATCCCCTAGGGATTTGTCTTCAAACAATGACGCCTGCGAATCCTACCTTTCCTGTCATTCAATTGTTATTTTTTCTGGCCATTCGTTTTCTACTACTGATGTACTACTGCTAATTCTTTTTCTTCTTCTATAGGTAGCGAATCTTTTGCTGGGTTTACCTACCGGGACCAAGTAATTCGCCACCTTGAGAAGCACGCTCCCCATCTGATAATTCCATTCCTGGAGCGCGTTATCTTTATGCCACACGATTGGGACGATGAAATAGAGGAGAATGAGGAGGCGAAGGAGGAAATGGGCGGAAGCTTAAGGGTATCAAATCTTAACAGCAGCGGTGCTTCGTCTCATACTCTGCACTCCATCTCTCTTTCGGATGACATGACGAATCACGCCAACGGATCTTCCACTCCAGTACGTTTCTAATACTTTCTGCCCTATTCCTTCCCTCTTTGGACCGACTTTTCCGAGACCTGAAATGAATAAAAAGGGCACAGAGTAAGACTACTTCCCTTCTCCTTCAGTCTTTTTTAACATGCACTAACAGTACCAAAGAAACACTTCTTGTCTCTTCACCATACCGAGATAAGGTGCTTTCTAGAGCTATGACCTTCTTGCCCTTCGTAGGTCATTTTTAGTGGACAAAAGAATTTGGGACATGTCCCATTTGGCCTGCTGTTGGCCGCCCCACTGGTATTTTAACGTCTTCCCTGTTACTCACTGCTGAATTCGGACATCAGATGTCTCTATTTTTAACCTTTTAACCCGAGTTAACTGTAACTGGCGCTTCTTCCTATAGCCAGTTTCTTGCACTTTTAGACCTTTAATGGGAGCTCGCAAACTGTTTGCGAAGTCAATCCGTTCACCTGTTTGTGGCCTCTCCCGCGTCCAAGGCGAATAAAGACGCCTTCGACTGGAAAGCATCGGCTGAACCGGAGCTTGACACTACAGGAGCCTGGTCCCGATGATCTGCCCGAGATCAAACCATTACCATTCAGTCCGGAACCAACTGAATTACACAATCGTTACGCCCGGACTCTTATGTAAGAGTTACTTTATCTCTTATGCCAGGTCTGATGCATCCTTAGTCATGTTTTTATCTTAGGTTCTGATAACTGCCCTACTCAATCTCGTCGTTGACTCTGTCGTTTTCGTGTTCAGACCTGTGATGTGTTGAACTGTTACAGCCACACATGTTGAGATTGAAAAAAAATAATCAGATGATTATACGGTTATTTAACATACATTCTTACTGAATATGTTTAAGTAGCGTTATGAGGTTTGATATAATGCGTCCGCCTTTTTGGCCTTGCCGTTGTTGTCATTATTGTTGAGGCCGACTTTTCAACGCACAACTAATGATTTCTCATATACTGGCAAAGCATTCTCTAAGCGACAGTTGTTTGTGCTTAGCATCGTGAGACGCGTAATCTGAATCAGATAACGAAGCTTTGGCAACTGCATCGCACCTCCTCTAGAAAACTGTAAACCATTCTCCAGGACCGCCCCCTGCTATATCGACCGATTACCAACGTCTACAAGGTCCTATTCAACCCAGCTTGCTGATGCAGTCTGGCAAAGTCTGAGAAGGTTTAATGACAGGTACAGCTGCCTAATTTACAGCCGTTTAGAAAGCCTGCAGCTCACTTAGATAGAGCCTCCATAACACGCAGATGACTATACGGCCATCTAACATACATTGTTACTAAATATGTTTAAGTAGTGCTAGAATGTTTAACACAATGTGTCTGTTTGCCATTACCCGCAATTGTTGTTTGCTCTTAAGACGCCAGATACAGACCCTGCAGCCCGACCCCAGC